ATCATCATCTTTTATCTCTTCTTTTCGGGATGGGCAGGCACGCTGACTCTGTTGGCCTTGCCTCCTGCTGTCCTGGAGAACCAGAGCCCGGGTTTGGGCGCTGTGATTGGCAGGGGGCGCGCGAGGTCCCGGAGCTGTCCAGCAGTTCCTGGCTAAGTTCTCCACTGCGCTCTCCGCACTGGGGAAGCTCTCCAGCGCCCCGCCCCGGCTAGGGAACCTCTCCCGCAGAGCTCCCAGGGCTTCCCAGGCTCGCCACCCGTTTCCGTCAGTTTCTCTCTACTTCCAGCCCCACCACGGGAGTCTACCTTGCCTTAGCAGTCTTCCACCGCAACCCCCCGAGAGGGAGTCCCCTCTCTAGTCCCCGAGGTTGCGCGACTGTATGCGGGCTTCCCGCCTTTGCCTAAAGGGCGGGCGAGTGCGTCTCCTTCTAGCCTCGCCTTCTGCGATTGGGTGATCCTTTCTCTCTCAGTCTTTCTAGACAGGCGCCCGAAATCTCGGGGTGAGAGCAAAGACCGCCCATCAACTTAGCACCTTGAAATAGAATCTTTCGATCCCGAAGGAGGTTGGCGTTGCCGGGGTCGGCGGGAGAGGAAGAAGGAGGGCGGAGGCTGCAACGGCTCCGGGGCTCGCTAGACGGGGCTTGGAGACCGAGGAGCCCCTGCGGGAGAGGGACACGGGGCGCGGGGCCTCGCCCTCGGGCTCCCTCCCTTCTTCCTCTCTCCCCGCCTCCCGGCCCGCCCCTCCCTCTCTGAAGAGCCGTCTCTCCTCCGCGTGTCTCCGAGCGCTCTCTCCATTGTCTCTGCCTTTACAACAGGTTCGGGCGGGGGGGAAGACAGGCGGGTGCGGGGCCGCCCCAGCCCCGGCTTTCTTGGGGCGGTCTTCCTTCCTCCGGGTGTGAGTGCCTTCGGCTGCTTTGATTCGGCTCCGGAGCTAATTCCCCGGCGGAGCAGCCCCCGGCGAGTCCGACCCCTCCCTCAGGGCCGTCTCCCAGCCCGCGCCCCGCCGCCTGGGTCTGCGTGTGGGAATGATGTGCGCGTTGGAGGGTCTAAGTTCTTCACGCGCCTGGGGGGTCCTCCCTTTTTTTTCTTAGGCAACCAAATCGTACTCCTCTTACTAATCAGTAAATCCAAGGCAGCGGCAGGAAAGACGAACGCTGTTTTTCCCGCTTGATTCCAAGAACCTCTTCGATTTTTATTTTTAAAGAGGGAGACGATGGACTGAGCAGATCCACACCATGGAGTCTCGGGTCTTACTGAGAACATTATGTTTGCTCTTCGGTCTCGGAGCAGGTGAGTGGCCTCAGAGCTGGGGCGGGAGAAGGGATGGCCCCCGCCTCTGGGCAGCCCGAGCTGCCTGGGGACGCCTCGCTCTTCCTCCACCTGAAGTAGGTCTGGAGTGGGAAGCTTGGAGTAGGGGGTGGGTTTGGATTTGGATGTTTTTCTGTGCTTGTCTTGGAGACAGCAGGGCGGGTCACACCCCTAGTCCAGGGTCTGAGGGCCAAGGGGAACTTGGCACCGAGAGGGGTTTAAAGTAGGTCACGGAAATGGGACTGGGTGCTCTGCTCTTTAAATCTTGATTGCTGATCTCAGGTAAGGCAGCGGAGGGAATCGCCTCTTGTCAGTTTCCAATATTGTCTCTAAGACGCGGTTCTTTGCTGCCTTGGAGGAAGAGACTTATATTTTGATGGAGGTTTTTCTTTCTTTCCTCCTCCCTCCCCCACTCCCACCAGTCTGGGGGCTTGGTGTGGACCCATCCCAACAGATTGACGTCTTAACGGAGTTAGGACTTGGGGAGTCCACGACCGGAGTGCGCCAGGTCCCCGGGCTACATAATGGGACGAAAGCCTTTCTTTTTCAAGGTAAGAGGGGCGTGCTCAGTCCCCGGTGTGGTTTCAGTTCGGATAACCCCGGGAAGAGCTGGCCTGACCGCTCTTCCTAACTTCTGTTTTGCCTCATGGATGACATCTGAGCTGAGATGTGGAGGGGTCAGTGTGAAATACACACACCTTCCATCTCTTTTTAAGTGGCTTGGTTTCTGTCTTCCCCAGCCCCCTCCTCTTTCTTACTTTGTACTCTTGCCAGTTCTAATGGATAGTCCCTTAATTACTGTACAGAAACTCCGATGGCAGATGGTTGATTTTGGAGTCTGAGTAACAATGAATTATAACACAAACGCCTCATTTGGGTGAAATTGATTTAGGTAGGGGATAGGGTAGCTTAATCTTAGTTAACACACTGCTCTCTGAAAGTTTCAAGTACAGTGGTGCCCAGTTGCAGAGGAATTTCTTTATGTGGGTAGCTTTGTGGAAAAATTAATATCTTTCAATAGTTTTAACTACTGTATGTCACAAACACACTATATTTGAGACAAGATTCCTCATTGAAAGATAATGATTCTTCTCCATCAATGATAGGAGAAAGGAAATAATATTCTCTTAAAAATTATTTTGAAAATATTTCAAATAAATGTTAATTCAAAAGTATACTTTGTCTCACCATTAATCGCGTACTTAGGATTTTTAAACTTTTCTTTTGAAGTCAGTGGACTTTGGCTATGCACAAGTGTCTACATTTAAATTTATATTTAGGTGTGTTATGTAGTCAGAGCAAATTCCAATGCATCGATCCTTCAGCTTTGATTTACCAACCTTTTTGAAGACTACTTGGTTTGTGGGAAGGTGCTGTAGCATGAGCTTCTAAAAGGTAGCTAAACACATACAGAAAGACTAGTTTCACATATGGTAAAGTAAAGATGAAGGCTAAAGAGAAATGGAATTTGGTTTAACATATTTGATGGACTGACTAAAGCATCTTCTCCCCACCCCACCCAGTTTTTCTTTTGTGATTTCGGTGCTGTGGCTTCAAAAAAAGTGCAACTCATAATTACTAAAGAGTTGGATATGCAAAATAAAACCACTTCAGCAAATTTGCCACCAAGAAATAGGCATAAAATAAAACTTGAGTGTTTCTGTAGTGGTGTTGTTGCGTGGTATAGCCAGTATGTGTCACCATGGACAGTAACACCAAAGCTTACAGTTGGAAAAGGAGGAAATTGACATGTGTTGCATTTATTTAAAGCAAGTTTACTCTTACAATAAGTTAAATGCAATTTTCTGTTTTAATTATGGTGAGCCCACTAAATGCTGTTATTGTGAGGGATATTCGTGATAATATTTTATTTACTTAAAGTTCTTTTTTTTGGTGGGGAGTGGGGGTGTGATTTGGATATTGACTCCTTTAAGAACAATGACCAAATCTAATTAAGGAAATAAGACTTAGACTGTCAGCAAAATTCACAGAGCAGAATAAAAGTGTCATTAGAGTTAAGCTTCTGTTTTTCTCTTTTTCTTCTTCTCCTTTTTTTTCAATCTCTGAGTTTTCAATCCCTGTGAGCTGGAAACAAAATTACTTCAGGGCTGCCAATTTGATTAAGTGGAAAGCTTTACAGAAGCTAAAGCTCCTGATAAACAAATGGCGTTGAAGTGCCCTTAAAATTTCCAAAGGTCCTTTAAATTATATTGGTGTTCTTCTTGTCTTTCTCTGAAGACCGCCTGAGCTGTCACAAATAGAAACCTTCAGGACTGTGCATTTTATGTTCTGATGCTAGACAATTTCTAGGAAATAGTCTCAAGGCACCAATATCTTCTCCTGGTTAAATTTTTATAAGAAATGTTTAGGATTCATTTTTATTTAAATTGCCAGTTCTTCAAGGTAGGCATTGTGTTGTGAATGAATTGGCCATACTTACTACGTATCAGTGCACACCGATGAATTGTTTTGTTTCCTTGTTGGTACCAAGCACAATATTTAGACAGAGTAAATGCCTGACAAATATAGTGTACGAGATTTGGAGGTGTAAAGTTTTATTTCATGCCAAATTATGCACCTTATTTCATATAGCCAATCAATCAGCAAGTATTTGCTACCTGCTGTGTTCTCAGTAGGCGTGTATTACTGATGTATTTATTATGCTCTAATGATTTCTCTGATTCTCAGATTTAGATTATAAAATTGACAATAGGTAGACCTTTGGCCCTGCTTGATAGTTTTGCATTACCTTGGAAAGGTCTTTTCTCTGCTATTAGAATGTGGAAACTGTTTTTAAGAAGTCAGTTCTGGGCTTTGCTGGGATTACATGGATTTTAGAGAGACAAAAGCTTTCAGCCTCTGAAGATTTTATGGATTCGCTTTATAGTGAACTGAGGGTGCGGCGGATATTTTTGTATAGTCTTCAAAATGGCATAGCAGGAATAGTAACACATTACAAACCTGTGAGGTGCTCTCAGATTTCACATAAACTTATCAGATAAGTTACTTTGTGCTATCAGATATGTTCCAAATAGATGGAAGAGCTTTTTGATCCATCAAATCTCTCTATCTTCTTTTGTCTCTTATCTTTAAATTAAAGAAATCTCAACATACAATTTCCCAATGATTTTTGCTCATTTAATATTGCTTCTCCATTTAACTAGTTCATTCTTCTCTTTATTGTTTTTTTAATATGCTTATAATTCAGTACTTTTAGAAACTAAATAGTTTTTGTAAATTATTGTGCACTAAGAATCTACTATTACTTAATAACTATTATATTTATTACATATGTATAATAAAAGCAAGCAGAAATGTATTTCAAAGTCATACCTGATTTTTGTCATATATAGCATCACTAAAATTGTTTTGTTGTTGTTGAAATTTGGTTTACAGTTGCTTTGGGAATTGAAGTAATAAGATGCTAAATTAGATCATCTTTTGATACATGTGGCTTTTGATCTATGCCAATTATACTTTTCAAAAGAAAAAAGTGACCAGGCAACAGTTTGGAATCTATATCAAGATCTTCCATGTATTTCTAGCTACAGTCTGACTGATAGACACAAAAATACACTTATGGTTTTAAAAAATAGAGGACCAGGTTCTGACAGTCAAAAGACCTATGAAAGGTGGTAAAGAATTCTGAAATGTTAAGGGCTAGTGCAATTATAAATAGAATTCTACCAACCTTGTTTAAAGTCTAGGGAATATTCTTCAAGATAATGATTATAATAATCTTTCCTGTTTATACATGAGACACCAAGAATGAGAGAATACAGAAGTATAGTTCTAGGACTTTCTAACATGATTTTTAGATCTTTGGTTTTAACATTTTGTCTGGCCAGGTTCCCAAACTAGATAGTTTCCTCTGTTGGTTTAATAAAGTTTCTTCTAAGGTGTTCACAGATTTTATAATGTCACTAATCCCCACGAGGGAAGTAGATAAAATCAAAGCATTTTTTTTCCCCGAGTTGGTCATTGGGAAATAAATATTTAGTAATTATTTTTAAAGAACTTTAAGATGTTAAAGGAAAAAAAATGTTCACAAGTCTACCTTATGCCAGTACTTGAAAACAGGAATGAAATTGGGCATTTGGTGGTGAGTCATTGGCTTGACTAGGCAACGGTAACTGCATTAAGGAAAGTGAGGTGGCAGTGAGTACTCTTCTTCAGTATGAAGGTCAGAGAGTATCTGTGGACTTAGAGACAATGGTCATTTTGATGCCGCATTAGAATAGAATAACACAATGACTGTGGGCTTTGAAGAGATGGGCTTTGAAACCAGTTAGACCCAAGTGGAATTTCATTAGTTGTGTTTCTATGGTGAAGTTACTTAATTTCTATGAGCTTCAGTACCCTAAATTATAAAATTAATGTTATGAAGAATTTTTTTGTGCACCTATTCTGCTAGGTGTTAGGCCTATAACAAATGAAGTTAGAACTTTACTTTCATAGTGCCTTAAAAATAGTCATTAAACAAACAATTACACAGATAATAATTTCATCACTGTTAAGATAAATGATATGAAGAGAAGCTAAGGATGTAATGGGAACCTACATTCTTGTTTAGGGAGTCACAGGATCAAGGAAACTGTCTTTGAAGGAGAGTCATTTAAGCTGATAGCCAAAGGATACATAAGAGTAGTCTGGGGAAGAGGAGCTGTGGGGATTCAGAAAGCAAGAGTAACACAGGCAAAGTAAATAGCATGAGCAAAGATCCTGACCTGAAATAAGCATGGTGCACTTGAGAAAATGGAAGAAATCCAGAGTAGTGGAAATGTAAGTGTTATGATATGAAATGAAGCAAACAAAGAAAGCATGGATCAGTTTACACAGTAGATCATATTTATACAGAAGAATTGAAAATTTATCATTATACAATATATACTGTGGTGGGCAGAATAATAGTCCCTCAAAGATGTTCACGTCCTAAGCCTAGGAACGGAGAATATGTTGTGTTACATGTCAAGGGGGAATTAAGGTTGCAAATCTTGGATGATCTGGGTAGGCCTCATGTAATCACAAAGGTCCTTTAAATCTGGAAGAGGGATGTAGAAGAGTCAGTGTCAGAGTGATGCAAAGAAGAATGACTAGACCTGCCATTCATTGCTGGCTTTGAAGATAAAAGTGGGCCACGGCCAAAGCATGTGGGCAGTCTCCAGAATTTAGAAAAGCAAGAAAACAGATTTTCATTTAGTGTGTCCAGAAGGAACACAGCATAGCTGACACCTTGATTTTAGCCCAGTGAGATACAATTTGAACTTCTGACCTCCAGAGATGTGAGATAATAAATTTGTATTGATTTAAGCCAGTTATGTGTGTGGTGATTTGTTACAGCAGCAATAGGAAACTAATACAGATTTTGATTCATGGAAGTGGGGATGCTGTAAGAAATACCTAAAACTGTGGAAGTGGCTTTGAAATTGGGCAATAGGCATAAGCTGGAAGAATTTTGAGGGACATGATAAAGAAGGCTAGATTGCCTTGAATAGACTGTTAGTAGAAATATGGACATTGGTGATTCTACTAGTGAAGATTCAGAAGAAGA